TGGGGGCCCAGAAGAATTCAGGAAGCATAGCAGTTTATTTCCCCAAACCGGCTACGAAATGGGCCTGGGCCTTCCCAACTTCCCTTGCCAGCCGGTTCCGATTTCAACACTTCCTTTGCTGTGAAGGGGAGAAGCTGATTCTTCCACCCAATTCAGGCCAGGTGAAGAAAACAAGAATGGGGGGAGGGGGGGTGTTACCGCCCCACGCGCGCATCCTTGGTTTCGTTGCCCCCGCCGCAGGGCGCCCCGGGGGGCCTTCGCCTCACCTCCGTCCCAGGGAAACTTAAACGCTTCGTTCCGCCTCCTCCGTTTCCATGCCGTCGGCGGCTTCGGGTTCCTCCCCGTCGAAGTAACGTTCTTCCTCGTCTCGCGAGACGATGTCGAGGTTATCGAACTCGGGGTTCTCGTCGACTTCACTGAGGGAGGAGTGGGAAGCGAGGGGGGGTAAAGGAGAGAGAGAGCGGGAAAGGGGTTTAGGGTTTCAACGCAGGGCGTCCTTGTCTTGCGACAATTCAGCCCGGAATTGTGGGCCGTCGGCCGGCGGCCCCTCCAGCAGCTGAATCGGATGAGGAGGCGGTGTGGGAGTCAGGGTCAGCCTCAAGGCAACCTGGGAGCTCCAAGGGGGAAGAGGGGAGTGGAGCTGGCAGAGAGGGAGACAGAGGCGGAGCCTAGGCCGCCCGTCAACAGCCCTCAGGTCTGGAGGTGGCTGATGAGGAAGAGGAGGAACAGCTGGGCCGAATGCTTGACGCACAAATGTGCAGAAGGGAGAGGAGAGCAGTGGAAATCTATGGGCCGGTCCTTGGGACGGAAGAGCCACTGCTGCTAGTGAGGCCCCACTTTAGCTCTGAGGATAAAAGGCAGGGGGTGGAGATGAATAGGCGTGGCAGACAACTATTCCTCTCCCGGCCGGCTGGACTGGTTAGCCTGCGGTGAGAGAGAAAGACTTTTTGCCGGGGCTGCTGGCGCTCCCAATAAAGGAATCATTGATTTAACCACAGAGGGTTTGTTGTGTTTGGGGAGCAGCCAGAACAGTTACGATCTTGTGCTTTTTTCCTCTTCCTCTTTCCACTCTTCTTTTCACTGAATTACTTGCTAGTAATTCAGAAGTGGGGAAATGTGTGAGCTTGGTTACCTGGGCTTGGCTTCCACAATACGTAAATCCACCTTAGTGTTGTTAGGGGTGCGTGCAATTCTTGCAGGGATCTGTCCTGCCCTTACCTGTAGTTGAAGTCCAGATCCTTGCCCTCCAGGAAGCGCTGGTACATACGGCTCGTGAACTCTTCCCGCAGAAAAGCCTTCTCCTCCTCATCGGGGACCCATTCGTCTGCATCGGGGTTAAAATCTTGGTCTAAAGAGGGGAGAAGAGGAGGGTTGGGCTGAGAGACTGACTGTCATACCCCTGATTCTGAGGGGGAGGTCAAGCAGGGAGTGGGTGTGTGGCTCCGGAAGAAACTGGGGAAGGGCACAGTCTGGCTGGGCCTTCAGAGGAAGACCCAGGGCCACCCCCTCTTCATCCTAGGGCATGCAGGGAGGAATGGAGAAGGGAGCAATGTGAGTTACGTGCCTTACGGGGGAGGAAAGGGCCTGATCCCCTTCATTAGCTGCAGCTGGAAAAACTGTTTAAAAAGGCAAACTGTTGCTGGAAGCAAAGCGTGCATTATCTTTGTTTGTCGAGGTTTATCTGAGTTCTGGCGTCCTACCAACTGTGTGTGTTTTTTGGAAGTCTGCAATTCCTTATCCTGCCGTTAATTGCTGCAGCGTGATTTGTATTGGTTTTTACTTATAATTTATATGCGCTTTGGGTTTGGACTGAATTTCTTCCCTTTAAAGACTGTTATTGGGAGAGTTGTTTCTCCAGCCGAAGATAACTGGACATTGGGGGCCAAGTTGGAGGTATTAAAGGGACTTTATCTACTTTTGTGACTTTGCTGCTTTTGTGCCACGCCCCTTTGGGTCATCACACTCACTGACAAAATCACCCAGCTGGCTTCCATGCCTAAGGCGGGACTAGAATTCACCATCTCCTGGGGATTGGGTCAAAGTCACCCAACCGGCTTTCGTGCTTAAGGAAGGCAGGGTTAGAACTCACTGTCCTCTGATTTTTAGCCTGGTGCCTAGACCAAACCGCTAGACCAAGCTGGCTCTCCTACTACTCAGGATAGTAGAGGCAGCTTCCCCTAATCTTTAGGGAGACAGAAATCCTCCCTGGCAGTTTATGAGACGATAAGAAATGGATTGAATTCTATTTTAATTTAGAATTTAATTTAATGGTGATTTAAATCCTATCCATTATTTCCCATTTCCCAGCAAAGCCGCAGGTTCTCTGTTATTCCCTTCAAAGCAACTCGGCTGCTCTCAGGGCCTGGATCCCTTGAGGTCCAACCACTAGATCCCACTTCCTTGTTTCACCTACCTCTGCTGTCCTGGTCACTGTCTTCCTCCTCCTCCTCTTGGCAGGCCTCTTCCTGCTCTTGCTGGATCAGCAACCGCTGCTGGATGACCTTCTCTTGGTAGGAATCTAGGAGGATGCCCGAGAGGGAGCAGGAAGCCTCCAGTTTACAGTGGCCCAGCTCCTGCAGCTCCTCATCGCTCAGATATTGCCCGATGTACTGTTCATAAAGGAGGGGGTCCCGGCCCCTCATTTGTTCATCGCTGAAATATTCCCCACCTGCAAGGAATGGAGAGAGGGGTGTCTGTGAGCTGGCACATTGGTCGGTGCAACAGACAAATTGGATTAGACAAATGGCAATTCTCTCTCTCTCTCTCTCTGGTATCTATATATGGTATATCTATCTATCTATCTATCTATCTATCTATCTATCTATCTATCTATCATCTATCTATCTATCTATCTATCTATCTATCTCTGTCTATCATCTATCTATCTATCTATCTGTCTGTCTGTCTGTCTATCATCTATCTACCTACCTACCTATTTATTATGTCTGTCTGTCTGTCTCTATCATCCATCCATCCATCCATCCATCATGTCTATCTATGGTATCTATCATTGATCCACCCACTCACCTACTTATCACTGTATCCACCCATCCAACATCCATGCATTTCTCCCCCTCCCTCCCATCTGGCTTAGTTACAGAACAAACTCAAATTTCTGCCTTTGCACCACGGAACTATTAACTAGCAAAATAAGGTGAACCACAAAAAAGCTAGACGAGTAGCTAGTGTAGCCTATTGTGGGCATTTGATCTCTGACTATGCTATGAATGATCTTAGTCCTATCACTGCAGCCAGCCACTAATATGTATCAGAATTTTTTGCATATTAACACCTGCAACTTATGCTGCTAAAATGGCGCCTGTTCCTAACCCTTAGTCCATAAATCCACCAATCCACAGGTTTACTTTTAAAAAAACTGCAACCCCCACCCCCCCCAGAAGTCAGGCCCCGGTACCTCTGATGAGTTGTTGCAAAGCTGCGTAGCGCTTGTTCCTCACCCTAGTGTGTAGGGTTTTGCCCAGGTTTGCTTTGCGGACTTCAGCGCAGTAAAAATCTGCCTCATAATTGCCAGAGAGATGGTGGAAACAGGGCAAGTCTTCTTCGCGCAATACCGTTCGGAAGCGCTCCAGGAAGATCAGAGGTTTGGTGTGGTATAAATTCCGTAAAATGTCCAATTTCTGGACTGCTGTAAAATCTGGCTCATCCTTCTGTTGGCTCTGGACTGCCAAGTGGCTGTTGGCCACAGCGTGGAACATGGCAAGCACAGCAGAGTCTTCCTCCTCCATGGGACTATCGGTCACTACGTTTGAACAAGATGATTTATAATTTCCATTTTTGTAATGGGACTGTTGGTCATTGGAGGACTCCTCTCTGTTGGGGGTGCCATTTTCAGCATCCAAGTCCCCCAGTTTTTCAGTGCCTTGGTTAAAATCTTGGGTAACCTTGCTCCCCGTTTTTGTGGCTGGGCTTTCTGTCTTTAATTCACCCCAGCAGCAGGAGAGAGGGGCCCCCACTTTAGACCTGTGTCTATCCACCAAACCATTTTGACCTGGATGCCAAGATTCTTCCTCCCTACGAGAAGGTGATTGAAATGTTCCTTTCCTGCTCAGGGAATAGTTGTGTGAATTTGGGACTCCTGACATTTGTTCTCCCCAATATGTGTGACCCCTAGGGGAACTGCCAACTGTCCCAAAGTTGCACATATCTGAGGCTGCAAAGTTCTGATCATCCCCAGGAGATGCTCGGTGATCAGAATCTCTGTTGCTCTGCGAAGGGCAACCTTTGTTTGCCGGAATTTCCATACTGTGATTTCTTGCTTCGATTTTGTCTGGAAAATTTTCTCTCTGCCTTCTTGGGGGCAAACTGCTTGCTTTTTCCTTTTTTTTTCCCTTAGGGAATCAACACCTGGAGAGAGAAAATAATTTTTATAACATTGAATCAAACAGATATCAAATGCCCCCAAGAGAGGGAATAACATCTACTCTACTAGGACAACCACAGATCTGTGGCTCAGAAATAAATACAAATAAGCTTGTAGGACGCCATGGCCTGAAGCCCAAGAGGTGTTCTGTGAAGCAAAGTTAAAACTGTAGAGAAGACAAATTCAAAATAATTTCAATGATTTATTTCAATGGCTATACATTTTGGGAGGAAGACCCAAGAGGATGTTGATAATATCTTAAAATAGACTTTAATTCCATGAAAAAGACAGAATGATAGGGAGGAAGCTATGGCTCCCCCTTCCACAGTGATATTGATAGAGGTCCAGAGGACCACCCCACCATCCCTTAAGTAGTTCTGAATCCCCTCCAAGCACATGTCCAGATATTCAGATTTAAGGGTCTCAGCTGGACAAAATCTCTAAGTGGTTCTACATCGACCCAATGGACTGGAGGCTAAACATATAAAGAACGGTCGCTGGAACTGGGTATGTCTAGTCTGATGAAAAGAAGGACTAGGGGAGACAGGATAGCAGTCTTCCAATATCTCAGGGGCTGCCCCAAAGAAGAGGGGAGTCAAGCTATTCTCCAAAGCCCCTGAAGGCAGGACAAGAAGCAACGGATGGAAACGAATCCAGGAGAGAAGCAGCTTAGAACTAAGGAAAAGTTTCTTGATAGTTAGAACAATGAACCAGTGGAACGACTTGCCACTAGAAGTTGTGGGTGCTCCACCACTGGAGGCTTTTAAGAAGAGATCGGGCAGCCATGGTAGAGGGTTACTTGCTTAAGCAGAGGGTTCGACTAGAAGACCTCCAAGGTCCCTTCTAAATTTGTTATTCTGACTGCCCGGTCTTCTCCCCCACCCTCCACCCCCAAGCGCTCTGGAGAGGGAGGACCCGAAGGGGACCAGATGGGGGTCGTTGCCAAAGGAAGGGGCGCCTTTCGAAGGCAACCCCCCCCCACCAAAGCAGCGGGGGAAGCCCAGGACGGAAACTCACCGTTGGAAACGGCTCCCGAGGCTCGTGCCGCTCCTTCTGCGATCTTGCGCCGCCCACCGTCTTCGCGGGGGAAGGTAAATCGAGACGGACCGGCTCTCTCCGAGCGACTTCCGGTTCCTGGGCGGGTCCGCACGGACGGCGCTCCGGGCAGGAATCGTGGCTGCGGAAACTTTGGTTCCGGAAAAATTCTAATTGGTGAAATCTAGGGAGATTCTGTCATAGGGATCACGGTTGTCCCGAAGGTGCTTTTTCCAAAAGGAAACTGGAGTTTTGAAAACGTTTCGCTTCTCATCCAGGAAGCTTCTTCAGTTCTGTCACCGTCTCAGAACTGAAGATGCTTCTTGGATGCCCCAAAGGTGGTTTTTCAAGAGGCCGCTGGACTTTCTTCCTTTTTTCTTTTGAAGATGTTTCGCTTCTCACCCAAGAAGCTTCTTCAGCTCTGACAGAATGGTGGGGAATGGAAGGATTGATATTCCTTGCAGAAAGCTGGTCAGAGTGGAAGAAGCTTCTTGGGTGAGAAGCGAAACGTCTTCAAACATTGGTGGGATTCCATTTTTTTTATTACCGGTTCTGTGGGTGTGGCTTGGTGGGCATGGCAGGGGAAGGATGCTGTAAAATCTCCAGTCAGAGGTGGTATTTGTCGGTTCTCCGAACTGCTCAAAATTTCCGCTACCGGTTCTTCAGAACTGGTCAGAACCTGCTGAATACCACCTCTGCCTTCAAAAGAAAAAAACCAGAAAGTCCAGTTGCCTCCTGAAAAAGCATCTTTGGGACAATCATGACCTGGAGGACTGAGAATCTCTACAGACTTTTAGCTATGCAATTTGGGACTAACATCCTTGGAATGGTGTGGGAGGTAGGAAGGATTTCCAGAAGGAAAAATTGCAGACTACAGGAACCATTTGCACCTCTCAGGTGACCCTGAGGACATAGGGAAACCTCCAAGTGCTCTGACGACCAACTAAAAGGATGCAAATGACCAGCTGTCTGCGAGTAAGATTCCCCACTATTCCTGTCAGAGATGAAGATGCTTCTTGGATGAGAAGCAAAATGTCTTCAAAAGAAAAAGCAAGGAAGTTCAGTTATCTCCTGAAAAAACACTTTTGGGGCAACTATGACCCAGATGACTGAGAATATCTATAGACTTTAAGCTTCTTGGATGAGAAGCGAAAGGTCTTCAAGAAAAAACAAAGTCCGATTGCCTTTGGAAAAAAGCACCTTTGAACTGGACAATTAAACAGGCAGTAATAGAGAATGTGGAAGAAAGGAACAGTGGGAGAAAGGAAGAGAGACCAATATTTTTTTTAAAGAGGAAAAAAAAAAGTCACAATCGTAGGACATTACAGGAAGAGTATTTCCTGGTCTTTTTTCTCTTTTGACAACCTGGGTAAAAATAGGGAATCAACTCCCTGGATCCTGGCCGATGTAACACACCTCACAGGGTTGGTGTTATGAGGAAAATAGGAGGCAAGGAGTATTAAGATATGTTCACCCCTTCCCAAAAATTCTCTAAATCTACCAGTTGGGAAAAACAAGCTGAGGAAAAGCAGAGAGGAAGAATGGATAGCGTTGATGATGATGATGTGGCTGATTCAAGGCCAGAACGACATCCAACTGCTGATGTGCGCAGAGGCCAAAAGTGAAGTTTGAACTTGTAAAGTCATCTATAGCAGGAGTGTTCAACCTTGTCAACTTTTAAGATCCGTGTCCCAAGGTGCTCTTCCAAAAGGCAACTGGACGTTTTTTTTTTTCCTTGAACTTTTCGCTTCTCATCCAAGGAGCTTCTTCAGTTCTGAGACTGACACAGAGCTGAAGAAGCTTCTTGGATGAGAAGCGAAACCTTTTCAAAGAGGAAAAAAAACCCAAGAAGGAAGAGTTGCCTTTTGGAAAAAGCAACTTCGGGACAGCCATGACCTGGATGATTAAGAATCTCCATAGACTGTAGAGATTCTCAGTCATCCAAATCATGATTGTCCCAAAGGTGCTTTTTTCAGGAGGCAACTGAATTTTCTGGGTTTTTTTTTTCTTTTGAAGACGTTTCACTTCTCATCCTTCTCTTCTTGGATGAGAAGCGAAACGTCTTCAAAAGAAAAAAACAAGAAAGTCCAATTGCCTCCTGAAAAAAGCACCTTTGGGAAAATCTCCATATAGACATTTAAGACCTGTGGACTTTCGCCTCCCAGAATTCCCCAGCCAGCCAAGCTGCTTTTTTTATTCTTTCTTTGGAAGGACAGACAGTGAAGCTGAAATACTTTGGCTGCCAGGACTCATTGGAACAGATCCTGATGTTGGAAAAGGCAGAAGGCAAGAGGAGAAGGGGACAGCAGAGGATGAGATGTTTACATAGGGTCATCAATGCAATTCAATGAGCATGAATTTGGAAAACTTCGGGAGACGGGGGGGGGGGGGGGGGGCAGGTCCACAGTGTTGCAAAGAGTTAGAGACGACTTAGCGACTGAAGAACAGCATCAACAATTTTTAAATGCTGCAGGGTAGAGACAGAAACACGCAGACAGTTTAAAGTTCAATATTCATTCTTTTTCTCCAAATACAAAAAGCTGTTACAATTCAACTCAACACAAAGCAGGTTCAGAGTTACAGAAACTGAAACGTCGTATAAAAAGTTACACATTTAAGATGATTCTCTCCCTTTTTTTTTTTTAAAACCCTCTCCTGTACTGAACTAACAGAATTGTTATCTTGATGAAAATATTAACAGCTATTGACCCACAGTAAAAAGTTACAGAAAAAAAAATATTTTTATTTTTTTTAAAAAAAATCATAATTACTGTTAAGCCATTTCTCCTCCCCTCCGGTTTTAATGGTTATTTGCAAAAAAAAAAAAAAAAAAAATAGATAAAAACACCTCAAAGACAGGTGACACCAAACTGCGAGAAGTTTCCAAAAGGTGTGGAATTTATGGTCACTAGCAGATTGGGTGGAGGTGGGGTGGAGAGAATTTGGGGTGGGGGGTCTGCAGGAGGCAGTCCACAAACAGTGGCCACAACAAGACCCAAATCCTAATGTGCATTGTGACCGCTCTCTTCTCTTTACTGGACCATCCCCTGCGGATACCCCTGGAGAGAGAATGGCGGTACATCCTACGGGAGCCCCTTCCGATGCTGCCCCCGCCCCTCCAACTACTGCAGGAAGTTTATATATCTGGATGGGTCCTGGCCTTAAAAAAAAAAAAAAAAGAGTACAATTTTATGACGCTGAAGACCCTAGTTTCTTACAGAATAAAACAAATCTTAAAAGAAGAGGGAAAAATAAAGGGGGGGGGGGGGTTTGAGGGGAAGTTAAAATGATCTTCAACAAGGAGACAAGGAACCATGTAACTTTCCCTCATGAAGGATGGCAGAAAGGACATAACATGCCTAGCTGTACAAGTAAAAACGCAACCATTCTCAAGAACTCTAGAGAGGGAAACTGGGTGGAGACACCCAACTTCCCCTTTTCCGGCTCTCTCTCTCTCTCAAGATTCAGGAATGCCCGTCACTGTTAAGAACGTGCTGTTCCTTTTCCCTGTGGGGTGGGGGGTGAGGGGTTGGGGTGGGGGGGAGAACGACACCTTCCCCGAGCTATCACTGTGTGCTTGAGCTGCCCTGCGAGGTGCCCGTGTAGCTCCCGTAGTCGTAGTTGCCGTAGTACGGAGGCCACTGACCCTGGTTCTGATAGTATTGATTCCATTGTTGGGTGTACTGTGGGGAAAAAGGAGAAAATGGATCAGTGGACAGGTAATATTCTCTCCCACCCACCCACCCCAAAAAACCTTTCCATTTCCATCTGCTGGCTTAGCTCGTATTATGTCAGGTTTGTTTCCTAACCCTCTAAAGTCCCTCTTCACAAAAACTCAGACTTAGGACTTAGAATAACTTAATTGTCACTTTGAATGGACACTAATCGGCGCACATTCAAATGAAATTTTGTGTCATGCAGGTCTCAAAGCGTCTCCATCTCCAATATACACTATATAAACCATGACAAAATGAAGAAATACAAAGTGATGCATGTACCCACATATACATTAGCTGTCCTTGTTAAAGGCGAAGGACCGTCAGGAGCTGTGCTGGTGCAATGTATTAAACCAAGGCTGTTCAACCTTGGCAACTTTTAAGGCTTGTAGACTTCAACTCCCAGAATTCCCATGCACAGCTGGCTGGGGCAATCCTAGGAGTTGAAGTCCACAAGCGTTAAAAGTTGCCAAGGTTGGATATCACTGCATTAAACTATCGATCCGGAGGAGGACGGGATCACGGCTTGAGTTTTGTAACCCATTGCAAGTAGTCCTTGACTTACAGCCAAAATTGGGATTAAGAATTTCCGTGGCTAAGTGAGTCACAGCCCTTTCGGGGCATGGCTACCGAGCAAATCACTGCGGTTGTTAACTGGATTGTTCTGTGAAGTTGGCTTCCCTTGCTGACATTGCTTCTCGGTAGCCAGCTAAGATCACACATGGTGACCACATGACTCCGGGGTCCTGGTCCTGTAATACATGGGTGTGTGTGTGTGTGTGTGTGTGTGTGTGTGTGTGTGTGTCCCGGTGTCCTTTTAATGCACAAGGGCAGCCTTGCTTTTCCACACTTACCTGTTGGTACTGGTTGTAGTTGGGCTGACTGTAGGCTGGTGGAGTTGGGGCTGGCGGAGGAGGAGGCTGGGTGTAACTTTGGCTGTAAGTGCCGTAACTCCCGTAGTTGTAGCTGGGAGCAGTGTAGCCCCCTTGGCTGTAGCTGGAAGGGGGGCTGTAGGGCTGGCTGTAACTTTGCTGTGGACGACAAAGTCAGAGATGGTTCTCTAAGCTGAGACACAGGCTCTCTAGAAATCTCACTTAGTCGGTCTCCGAAATGCTGCAAGCTGAAGCCTATCTGGCTTGTAGGGTTGACATCCCAAGGGAACATTTAAAAAGCTGCATTTTGGTCTAGTGGTTAAGGCACCAGGCTGGAAAGCGAGAGACGCCGAGTTCTAGTCCTGCCTTAGGCATGAAAGCCAGCTGGGTGACTTTGGGCCAATAACCAGGAGACAGGGAGTTCTAGTCCTGCCTTAGGCATGAAAGCCAGATAGTGACTTAGGGTCAGCTACTCTGTCTCAGCCCACCTCAACAGGGTGGTTGTTGTGGGGGAAAATAGGAGGAAGGCGTGTTGGATACATTCCCAGCCTTGAGTAGTTTGTAAAAATAATACAGGCGGGGTATAAATGAATTTGTAAGCTATCGACATGGCAAGGGCTAATGGAGCACCAGGCCTTTAAAGAGGTATCAAGGATGTCAAATTTCATGCCCATCTCTCTGGCTATTCCTCAACTTTCTGCATAACCACCAAGCCATGCCACTGGATGCTTTCTCAGCTGCCCCGATTCATCCCTCAATTACCCCGTTTGAAAGGGGTTTCGGCATTTCCCCAAACAGAATCTCGAGTCAAACCCTGGGTGCCCCCTCCTCCCCATTTACCTGTGGTCCTTGATTGTACGACACCGGAGGGGGGTTGGTGGCAGGGCCCAGGGCTGGAGGAGGGGCAGGAGCCACGCTACTGCTCTTGTAAGGATTCTGGTCACGTGGCGGGCTGTAGCTGCTCTGCTGCTGGTTGTTCTGATTGTAGCTGCCTCGGGTGTTGTTATTGTTGTCTCGGTTTCCGCTCCCCCAACGGCTTTGGTTGTAGCCGCCTCGGCTGAAGCCTGAATGGGAAAGTCAGAGTTATGAGCTTCCGCTAAAGAGCCAGTTTGGTCGAGTGGCGAAGGGGCAGGGCTAGAAAGCAGGACATGGTGACTTGTAGCCTCACCTTTGCCATGGAAGCCACTGGGTGACTTTGGGCCAATCACCAGGAGACGTTGAGTTCTAGTCCCGCCTTAGGCATGAAAGACGTCTGGGTGATTCTGGCCAATCACCAGGAGACGTTGAGTTCTAGCCCCGCCTTAGGCATG